GGTATTTTCGTATTTTGATGTTTTGAGCTCTTTTGTGTTTAGAACAATATATACTAATTTTCAAAGTATCAAACTGAATTTTTGTTCAATAAAAATCTTTCAAATGCGACTGTAGCTTCGTTTTTATTTTCAAAAACTTTGTCTTCAAAATAAGGGTGCATCTTATATTCCGAAAAATACATTAATTGTCTTTTTTTTAATCGGTTTAGTTATGACTGGTAACATACAATTGCCTAAATTTTCTATAACAATTTTCCACTTATTTGATTTCGTACAACGATTTGGTATTCATTTTATTCTCAGCTTTCAGTAGTAACAAGCTTTTTATCACTTTTCTTAACAGGAAAGCAAGTGTGAAAAGGGAACTGGAAGCTGAAACACAAAACGTTATTTATTATTCAGCTGATGTTGAAATTATAAGTAAAACAGGTAACACAGGTGCGTGCTATTGTGTGTGTTAAATGCGTTATTAATTTTAGACCAGCAGTTAAAATTACTTGAAGGTTTACTTTTTCAGCAAGTTTTATGTTCTGGTAAGTGTGAACAATAAATTATGTGACACCGTAGAAACAAGTTTCTTGTTGGAATCAGTTTCGTACCTATTTTTATAGTTAATTGCACACCCAAGTTTTACGTAAGATTTTGAAAATATTATTTAGTTAAGTCATGCATCGTAAAATATGGCTCACATTAGTCATGTAAACAGTTTCCTGTGTCTTTCTGTTAGATTTTTATCAGACACAATGGGTTTAGAGAGTATATTCCTAAACGATTTTAAACGGGATCCTGTTTCTTTAGCGTGTGCACTAGACTGCGTGAAGTTCAATGAAATTTGTTCCATATAAAACAGAATACATACCAATCAGCGAAAGAACCATCCCAGACGGGTTGGCTATATAGATGTGACATTAATTCTAGAACACTGAATAGTGTATGATATTTATGTGTATTTACATATTTCTGCATTTATTCGTTGCTAGTTTGTTTTGGACAGTCGTTAGTACTTTTCAAACACATTTAGTAAAAACAATAAGGCACTTAACACATTGTCACCACTCAAGTGTTGTTATCACAATCCGCTGTGTTGAAATGTGATGTAGAGTGCATGTATACAGCCATAGTTTATGACGTCACAGTTACACAGTATTCTTACATCAACGTAAAACTGATTCACGCACACCACA